ACAGCGCTGCACGAGGCAATGACGACACAGAGTGCAGTGAATTAGGAGAGGGCAGTGATAAGGCTGTGTGCCGTGAATCAGAAAAGTTCATTGACACGGTAGGGTACAGTGAATAAGAAGGGTGCAGTGAATTAGTAAATGGCAGTGATACGGTAGGGTGCAGTGAATAAGAAGTGAGCAGTGACACGATAGGGTGCAGTGACAAAAGAGAACAGTGACACGATAGGGTGCAGTGACAAAAGGGAGGAGTGACACGATAATGTGCAGTGAATAAGAAAGTTGCAGTGACAATGCAGCGTACAGTGACAAAAGGGAGCAGGGGCGCAAAAGGAGGCAGTGACTACTTTTAACAAAACTAGAATTATGAAAAGCTTGTTCCCTTGCATGTTAAATGAATAGCAGCCAGAAATTTTACATTCACAAACTATACTTAAATGTGTATTAAATCTCAAGACTCGTTTGCAAAATTGAAAATAGTGTTGTTCTGCTCGTAATACTGTAGTGTTTCGAAACAAAGTTCGTCACTTATTCTCAATCAGAGAAATGAAAAGAAGCCTATTTAAAACAACTAACTAAAACAACTTTATACTTTGCCGATATATTGGTTCACCGATATTTTTGCCACTGATAACTAATGGTTGCAGATGCCTTTTGAATGCAACAAATTGCTAACCTCGCGATACTTCGCTTTCATTCACCGACGATTCGCACGAGTAGTATTTGCGAATAAAAATATCAATACATTATCATGACAATTTCTATGTTTTATTCATTTATGCATGTGAAGCTCTTACCGCCTATTTGGCTGCGCAAAAATCGACTGCACAAACTAACATCGAATGCTGCAACAATGAATTGAATCAAATTTTAATGCATGATACAGCAGCGATATCAATGAGCAGATAAATATATTCATTAGTGAGCAGTTACAGCGCGTTGAAAACGAGAACCTTAACTTTAGTTATTAATGTGCAGGAAATTCATTGATATCTTCACAGGATCGTCGCTTGCTTAGAAGGATTTCTTTAACAGAAATTTGTCCTATCTTATAAACGAATTGTTATTTGTTACAGGACCTTATTATAAATCAGCGCTTGTTCGACATAAATTTCATTTATTGAGGCTGAAATTTTTCTTTTATCGCTAAGGAAGCTTTTCATTTCAAAATTACTCTAAATAGCTCAAATTCAAATGCTTGGCCAATTTTCACGTTGAAATAGTCAGAATTCCCGTTCCATTGTGTGACAGTCGCATAAACAATAATATTGACAACATGAATCTCAAATACATTCAACCAAAAGAGCGTACGATGACCTGCTAGTTCGCATATGTATCACGGAAATTGAATAACGCAAAAATAAGAATTGAAATAAATGTTTTTGTGCAATCATCAAATAATCAAAAACAAAAGACAAATAATTATACAGTGCTGAGATGCTGAGCTCTCTCTTTCAGATCAATATAATCCAGAGTTCACTCACTGCATGAATTGCAAGATTCAGATGATGAATTAGGTTTACCTCGGCTAATTTTTGCTGTTTAGCATGGAGTATATATAAAAGTATGGACAGTAAAACAAGTACGCAATAAGCTATGGGATAATAATACTGCGCAACTGTGTACCGGAGTAACTAAGACATGTGGAACTACAGTGCTGTGACCGCGCGGCATAGTTGTAGTCAAGGGACACAGCTCGTCTCTGTCTCAGATACGTGTCGGGGGTCGCCTGCCGAAGACCACCACTACCCTGGATGTAATGGACGATCATGATTCCTGCCTTCCGGAACGTAGCCTTCAACACTTCAAGCCGTCCGTATCTAGTCCGTGGGTCGAACCAGCCCTCGGTCAAACGGCCACTTGTCGAAGGACGATAAATTTTGGAACAGAACTATGCTATCTGAAACCTAACCTCTGATGCGGTGAAGGTAAAATTACGTAATTTAACGATGCCCTGAAGTGATATTCGATCCGCGGCCTGGTGGTGCACGGCAGGTGGTGATCAAGGCCTGAAGAGGACAGAGCCGAGTGGTGCACGGGCTAATTGGTGTAGGTCAGGAGAGATCCAAGGCGTTCGATTCAGGGCTTATTGGTGCACAAAATTGGTGGTGCACGGCTGCGCTCCCCGACCCCCGTGTCGGCTTGTTACTGGAAATACACATCTCTGCTTGTGTCTGTGTTTGTATCCTGGCTGAGCCATACACACTGTACGGAGACTAAACTGTAATTTACTTCTTACTCTCCTCAACAATGTACTTCAATTCCTGATTATGCTCCAAATATATGGAAATAATTCTGCAAACAAATCCTTTCTACGAAGTAATACGGATTAAAGTAAATTAAGTTATACATTCACCGCATTCAATGATATATTGCTGTTTTCATACATATCAATTCATTTGCTCTGAGAGGTACGAGGCATGTTTTTTAAGTAAGTACCGCTTTGGAATAAATAATATACGTTTAATAATTACTTTTTAAAGACAACACTTCCAAAGAATTCAGTGTCTCCAATCTTACAGATGTACGATGAATTTCTCATTTAATTTTCGAATATTAAAAAAATTAAATTTTCAATTTTTTTATATAAAATTTTTTTATCTGACTTCACACAAGTGTGCAAAATTTCAGATCAATTAGACAGGTAAAAGTGTGTCAAATATCAGTTATAAGATTTGTAGCTGACAAAATTATTTTTTCAATTTTTTTATTGCTGAAAAAAAAATATTTTTAAAATCTTTTATTTTCACATTTGATTCATGCATTGTCTCCAACTTTACACAAGTGTGCAAAATTTCAGATCGATAGGATAAGTAGAAGTGTATTAAATTTCGATTACAAGATTTATAGCAGACAGACAAACAAACGAACAAACAGACAAGAAGTGAAGTTAAAGAGAAGTGTTGTAAAAAAAAGACGTGCAAAGATATCGCAATAATTTTATTTTTACAGGAAAGCCTTTACCATAATCTACTTTCTAGAAACCGATTCTTCAGTGACTCAATAATATCATTATATAGTTCAATAATATCCAATAATTCTCTAGCCAAGTGCTTGAAGTATCAGTCAAGTAGTAACATAACAGTGAGATGTTGCGATACACGAACATATCCAATAATTGTCCAGGTCTATATTGAGAGTGGCGTATCGACTGGCGCATTAGTTCATGAGTGAGCCGATGGAGTGGTCACATGAGTGAAAGGCACCTAATAATCAAGTCGGTTCATTTTAACCGAAAAAGCGAAAAGAGCAAGACAGGTTAACATTTTCTTGCATCATCAAAAGGCACAGGCATGCAGGCCCTTAAAGATTCAGTACCGTGACGAGATCATAGGCGGTTCCGCAATCAGAGCAACACAGCTACAAAAAGTGCGTTTGCAGCGGTCGTGATGAAAAAGTTGTTTCGACATCTAAATCTAAATGAATTTAGAATAACGTACGTGAAAAATCTCTATTCTATATATGGATTTAAGAATTTATATTCAATATCCGTAAATTCGGTACACTTCTAAAGTTAAGGCCTGAAATAGCTTCAAACACCGCAAATAAGCAACGTCACAGAAATTTCGCAGCTCTGACCCGTGACTCGCTGATAGAAACTGCGTCAATAATGGCTCTCCACATCGAGGCTATGAAGACACAAACAAAGCGAGTGAAAAAAATGGACTCTGTAGAGCAAACAAATTTAAATGAGAACAACATTTACACAGAGCTCGTGTAATGCTGAGACTGATTTGAGCAATGTTGCCGACGCATACCATAGCTGTTCTTTTCATTTTGTGTCATCAAAACTTTGGAGACAAATTCGAATCACCGACATGTGGAATAGCCTCCCCGATGACATCGTTGGCGCTCCAAGTATGAACGCGTTCAAGAACAGACTAGTTAAAGCTATGGAAAAATATATGTTCAGATTTGAAATGCCTAGCTCCTTAGCGAACCCGGTGGAAGTCTAGTAGCTACTTCAAACTATCGCCAGTCATGAAAAGATCCGGTCAAATGACACGAGTTTAGATCTATGAACAAGGCACGAAAAGGAAAAGAATCGGCGACAGGCCACATCAGGCCTACACTTCAGCGCCGACATCACTTTGTTATGTTATGTTATACTTTAAACACTGGACGTGTGCTTCCTCCTCACATGGAGCAGAATCAAGATTTTAGAAATGCTCATCTTATCACATGCGCACTGTATTTAACGTGGTTACTTTTCTCGTAATTACGTAGTTGGCATCTTGAAAAATTCCAAATGATTGATATGCAAGGTTAATTTGGAATACGAAAATACTTATCCCACCAAACAATCTAATAAACAATCATGTGCTTCAAAATCACTTGGGATTTTTGGACATCGGGACTCGAGGAAATAACCATTTTATTCAAGTCAGTTGCTTGTTTGGTAAATTTCCTCTTTTTTTGCAATATTGATGAATGATATCGATGCGTCTAAAATACACGACACGTTTCAAGTTATAGTTTTTCATGTTTGGCATCAGTGACTGCGGTAGCTCACAAGCATGCTGCCTCGGCTGTTATGAGGCTACTCAGGGCCGCAATAAGCAACTCGTAAAAGATTGGTTTCTTCTCCCCGCCAGGGAAACGAGAAGTGAAGTGGCTATTCCCCCCGTCGTGATATTCCATTCAACATTTTAAAAATTTGTGTTTACGACGGTAAACGGGTAATAACTATCATAAAATTCCAAAACCAAAGAGTTTGTCCTTGATCATAAATGAGGATTTTTCGTATAATACGAAACTACAATTTTTGAGTAATCTACGATTACAGCCAAGTAATACATAAAAAATTAACACTATTAGTATAACTTTGATTTTAAACTTGGACGAATTAAAGGTTAATAATTCAAGCTTCTACTGTTAAGTCTGTTATCCACCGTCAAGCAGTGAACTGTCAATAGGAGATTTTTATCAAAATGTGTTCATGGAGGAATGAGCTGCTGCGAGCCAAATTCACAACTACTAATTGGGATAATGGAAATGGCGAATGCATTATTTCATTTATTAACAAGCATCTTGCCACGACAACCGTAAACTGCCAACAGTTGCCAAGGGACAGCCTTATTACTTAATCGTACTCGTTATTACAACGTCTACTGACCGGGGAGCCTCTGTTAAAAAAATCAGTACATTACGTCAATAAAAGAAAGTTATCTCAAAAGAATGCCAGCGATTCCCTTCACAAAGTTTTGTGTCAATTCAGGCCCAAAGATTTTTTTCGTACATATTTCTGTGAATGAAAAATTAAGATTCTATGGCCAGCGCATAATTTGCATAAGAGAAAATAATTTTTCCGAGACTAGAGCAAAAACGAGCTGGCCAAAGAGATCAGAACTTGTGACTGCACCATTTATACGCATATAATTAAACGTGGTGAGACAATTGTAAAAACATTTAAAATCTTATAGTTAACACAGTGGCAAAATTTATGCATTAGTTTTGGACTACGTGCTCCTGATTGTGAAAAACTATACAAAATACTTGATATTAAATAAGTGCAAGACCGTGCATCTATCAGCTAAAACCAAATTACGAGTGGGACAATGACTTGCATATCGGCAAATTGCTAATTCGAACGGTGCAATCACAGTGTTGGCTAAACCAGGATCTTCTGTGTTGCGTACTGAGTAAGAGAAGAGAAGCATGATCATTTGAAGCATTCATCCGCCAGTGACTTCCTCGGGCGTGGTGTGCTAAACATGTGAATAATGAGCACTACTAAACACAATCAATTTGTTAGTGAACACTCACACAGGGAAGTTAGAAGTCTGCACACTGAGGTTTATCTGTTGCAAGGGTGAAATATTACACAATTTTAAAGGCCCAAGGCCCAAAACCTGGTAAAAATATGTAAAAAGTATTACACTACATCGTGCCAGAGATTAAAGCGAAACTCATAAAATTGTAAACAATTATCAATAACACGTTTAGTGTGAAATGAAGAGACAAAACTTCCTGCCAGACCATGTCTACATCCAGCAAACGAGTGGTCAAGAGGGGCTGTCTAAGATTTGGGAAATACTTACCATAGATTTCGTTCTACGTCTATCAATACCCACTTCTCCATGAAGAAAAGAGTAACTAACGAAGATTCGAATATGATATGAAATATTATGTACGTTAACGAAAATTCGAATTGAGAATCTCAGCAGCAAAAATAATTTTCCTTCAACGAGAGTTGTTGAAAAACACCTGCTACAAAAAATTTGCCTTTTAAACACCCATAAAATAACACGGATATTAAGAAGCGATGGCAGGAACTGCAAGAAATAAAATCGCTGGGTAGGAGGGCAACTATTGCAGGAGTAGCAAGAGATAAGAATTCAACTACAAGCTTTGGATGTTCAGAGTCTGACAAGGATCGAAATTTGTGCGTTATAAAAGTAGAAGCACGTTCCACAATGAAGGGCAAAATTCTTTATCAATCGTAAAATAAATTACATTGATTAATACACTTTGAAAAAGATGATAATTAATGCACAAATAATTAAAACGATCCAAAAGCAGCCTATCACCTTGCCGAGAAATATTGACAAATGAACGAAGTTTGGACTTCGGTAAATCAACGAAACAACTCCTAACAAGAATACGGGCAAATAATCCTTGCAACCCTAGCAGCAGTCGTGCAGGACTGTCAATGGAGGTTTATATGGGAGTAATCAAGGTGACTGTTCTACTAAAACCAAAATTACACAAACGTGGTTTGCATAACAATCTATAGATGACAATCTTCCTCGACCAAGATTTAAGAGCCAACAAACTCGGAGGCAATAATAACGGTCCTTAGATTTACACAAAATTGACGGTGCAATTACATAATAATTACGTTCTAAAATACATTAATTATTATTAGCTACATCAGAATTAAGAGATCTTATGAAAAATTGATAGCTCTAGCTTGGTTTTTGAATAAATTTCAAAATATAGCCATTCAAACATGAACAATCATGGGCATTAAAACCTTATATCGACATCAAGATCCCAGAATGTGATGTAACTTTGGATGTAAAGGTCTGGATTCACACATGTAATAATTTTGGATGTAGAGGCTGACCGCCATGCCCAAGTGATGCAGCTCTTTCTTTTGGAGGGTCAGTCAACGATGCGACACCAAAAAGTTAAAGTATAGTGGGCAACAAACCAAGATGAAGAATGTGAAAGTTAAAAACCTTTCGTCTCACAAGATGAGACTGATAATAATGAAAATGTGCTAATGTGTTGTGCCAACACATATACGACCACAGCAACATCAAGGGAAAGATTGATCGTTTCGCCTGAATATACAGCAATATTTGAGGAGATGCAACGGTGGACGGACGCGGGAACACTAATATAGGAAAAGATTTGAACTACCTACGTGGAAGCATTAAAATTCGTTAAATCGTCCACTGTAGGATGAGAAGAATCGCAGATCAGGTATGCCGGTACACGTTAACAGCTCCGTACAAACATACTTCTTGTCCACACCCATTAGTGCCGAAAGATTTTGGTGGGGATAATTTTAACAATATATGTAACACAACATTGAAATTGTAACAATAAAAATTGTGGTATTGAATCTTTCTTCAATTCCTTAAGTTTCGAAACCGATAGAAAAGGCTGATGCATGCCATGATGAGCCATGCCCAACAGAAATGCACGCTTGAGTCATGAAGTTTCTCGTCATCACCATCGTCAAATTCACGTTTGACAAACGAGCTCAGTACCACCAAATTACGAGACGCTTAAAAACACAAGAAACACAGAAGAAAGTAATGAACACATATTATACGTAAAATTTGCTCACTTCAACTCGGATGTCAATATTTTATTCCTAATGACCAAGTCGTAAATTATGTGATTTTAATTGATTGTTTAAAACGCGTTTTGATAACTTTTACACTACTTCCATCTGCGTAAATTATTCAAATTAAAGTTTAATCTCATTCGGTAATTATTTATACATTTCTAAACAAAAACTACTAATCTACATAAAACTGACTTCAATTCTCAAAATGAATTCAAATTCTGCAGTTAATAAACGTACTATAACATTAATCAGGCATATCTGGGAGCTACAAGTATTAAAGTTTTCACATGCGAGCTTCCTGATGAGAATATTTACTCATGTTACTACAGCATGAATGAAATTTCAATCCTAGGTAATGCCAATACGGTAGCAACCAAGATTGTAATAGCTCTCGGAGATGCGGATTACTGAAGAAGCGTTGATCAAAACTTGAGTACGACACTAAAATTTTACTCCTAAAACCTTTTACTTCCAAAAGATAGCTGCTTGAGTCGATCGCTTGTTTTAACAATCTCGAGCATAAATAAAAATAGAAAGTCAGTGTCAGTAATATGAACAAGCCACCAGCTTCATAATAATTACCACACAAGCAGTGGGCTTATTGACTATAAATTCTGGCATTTAATTGTGAAAGGTGTTAGAAGGCACGAAGCAACATAGGCATGAATCCTTCAAGAGTGTGGACTAAAAGATGTTAGGAACTCAGAGCTCAGTTACTTGAACAGGAGGTTCTTGACCCAGGTTAATACTTGAAACGAGGTTCTCAAGGACACGCGCATCATCATTGCCGACAACATGGCACGAAGCAACAGCTCCTCCTGTAGCAATGAGGTCGTTGTCGCCAATTGTTTCATTCGTGACACTGCTATTAGATTTGCTAGGAGAAACTGATCCACAATTTTCTATCCCCACAGCAGATGACACGCCAGAGCTTAGTGCAGCCTCCACAGGTTCAGCTTCGGTAACTTCAGCACAAGTTTCTTCAGAGTTAGCTCCTGGATCATTAGTTACAGTGTGTCGCTTACCAGTCAGCGCTGCCAACTGAGAGCTCACCTCCGTCAACTGAGAAGCTATTTCTGACAGCTCCACGGTTGCGGCACTCGAGTCAAATTCTGCAGACTCGGACTCGCCAGATGAATGCGAATGTCGCGGCTTGACCTCGGACGAATCAGCATGGACATCTGACTGAGAATTGTCAGTAACTTGGTCAGCACTCGCATCGGCAGCAGGGATGCTGTTAGGTGTGGTGTCAGAGCCCGTGGTCGGAGCTGAATTTCCGGTTTCTTCAGTGGGACTGAACGCTTCGCTGATCACTTGTTCGACCTTCTCTGAGAGCGTTCCTGCAGCCGCGATATCTTCAGAGCCATCGCCACCTGCAAACCGGCGGCATTAACATAGGATACTTTGTAAGCGAAATTATTCTTTGTAAACAAAATTATTCTAGGTAAACAAAATTATTCTTGGTAAACAAAATTATTCTTTGGAGACGAAATTGAAAATTATACAAAAGGATATGAATTAACGGCTCTACAAGAAATGTTGAAGTTATTAGTATCTGGCACCTTACGAAATACGAAAAAGTTAAGTTTTGCATGTCATAAAAAAATCATATCCTGCGAGTTTAAAATTCGTATAAGGGAAATAGAACATATCAGTGGCGCTCACACATGCATCAAAAAAGGATCGTTTATATATTTTGTAAATTGTTATTTGTTTTGAACCTTTTCTGTTGGCCTTGCGTTCTTCAACGAGCTGCGCCTGTAGGCCCCTGGCGAGCTGCTGCAGTTTTTCGTTCTGTTTGGTGAGACGCTCGATCTTCGCGAGGAACTGAGCACGCTCAGTGAGTGCGTCTAGAAGAGCAGAGTTGCTCTGTGCACACTTTGTCTGCCAAGACAACGTCTCCTTCTCCAGCTTTTTCATCTTTTTACCCATCTGAAAAATAATCATAAATTTGGTTTTCAACAAAATCATATTTGTAAAATTTTCATTAAATTTATCTCTTCATTTGGCATTATGAATACACTGGGTGCTTCAACTAAATCAATATGGAATGACGCGGAACAAATATAACCAATTTTCGCAAGCTTCTTAAACCTAAATGTAGGTATCATATAGAGTTAATTGGGACTACCAAGAAATAAATAACTATTAAATTAAATAACTAACTATAACTTCAAAAGTTTCAAAGCCTTAATATTTAAATACAAACACACACAGCTAAAAATGAATAATTCCATTGATCTCTTCGTCTACTATAGCCAAACTGGTACACATTTTCTCATACCTATAATCCAAGGGCAACAGAAAGAAAAAACACACGATAAAAATTTAAAGTGAGAACTACTTTTCCAATACCAAGTCCATTTCCTTCTTGAACTTGTTGATGATCGTGTTGGAGGTCTGAGCAGTTTTCTCAAACTTTGCATACTGATCAGAGTAACTGGTCAGTTGCTGGCGTAAAGTTATCTCTATGGTGGCCATGCGCGTCAACTTCTCCTGGTACAATTGCAACTCCTGGAAAAAAGATTTGCTATTCAACACCTACATGACAGCTGCTATTCAATGAAATCCCATGCAGCGATATGCTAGAGTTTTTCATTACAAAATGTTATTGTATCTATTCGTAATTAGTTTTTTCTTAATTTAACTAAATGGAAAATTAAGATTGACTAAAAAAACATATTTACAGCTTCTGATAAGGACTTACATTTAGAAAGAAAGTGTGATTTAATGTCTTAATATCGTCATCATAGAATGTTTGTGCTCAAAGTAAGTTGTCTAACAATACAAAGAAAGGCAGATGAGGTACTGAATTGACCGGCAATTACTGACACAAGATGAGTCTCACCTCTAGCATTTTCTTCTTGTCCCTGAGGAAAATCTCTCTTTCCTCAGACGATTCTATGGCAGCTTTGGCAAGCTTTGCCTCTGCCAACTGAAGCTGCAAGTCTCGCTGATGCAGAATCTTGTCGATGTTCTAAAAGTGGACAAAGTTTTTAGAAGGAGAAAAACATGAAGTTAGGGGAAAAGGTAACAAATCCTATTGATTAAAAATCTGCAATAAAATTTGACATACAAGTAAATAAGAATGTTTATATGGGATATTTTCCTTTAACGTACACTGAAATAAATTTTTTGCATCGTATCAATGTCATTTTACTTGTAATGAACTCTGCTAAAGATAAATTTTGCCTCAAACTACAAAGCAATTTTAAAATTTTTTATTTCTTAACTCACTTTTTTACGTACCGAAAGAAACTTGCAATAAGATGCAAAGGTGAATTAAGAATTAAGTCATTATTGATCTTAAGAATTTTGCATTGCATATCCGATCATTGGTGTATGTATGTAAGTACAGGTATTTATTATAAATTACTACAGAAAAAGCTCTGATTGAGTAGAGGTTAGCAAAATATCAATAATACATACAAGTAATCTAAAAGAATATTTAGATGGCCTCATATCTAGTGAGCCATGCACAACAGCAATATAATGCCTAATAAAATCAGCCTCAAATAGCATTAGTTGACCTCCTGTCTCTCGCTGTACTGAGTGACGAGATCATTGAGTCGCATGGCCATGTTCTGGTTGTCCTGCCTGAGCTCTGTATTCTTCTCCTTGTTCTGCTCGAGCAGTCCTGTGATGTCCGCAAGCGTCGTGTTGAGCCGAGCACTCAACTCGCGCCGCTTCTCTTCCTCCTCGCGCACACGTGCCAAATTCTCTTCCTGTCATTTAAGTATTATTTCACTTTATTAGAGAAAATCTTTACTCATCATCACAGTATTTTGATAAGTATTTTGTTAATTTTCCAAAACTATCAGTGATTCACCAAAAAATTATCTTACAATTTCTACAGAGAATAAGATAAAAGCCACAAAAACAGTCCACTTTTGATACCTACCCTTAATACCATAACCATATACTGTACCACCTGATATGATTCAACTAGACGCCATCAGTGCTTGTGTCTGAGTGCACTTTTATATCAACCAAGAAAAAATTAAATACTACCACTCACTTTGATTAGTTTATTCTGCTTCTGCAGTTCTCGGCAGAGTGACTCCAGCTGTCCTTTGGAGAGCGTGGCTTTGGTATAGTCAGCATTAAGCTGACTGTTGCTCTTCTCTGCAGCTTCATATCGTGACACAGCTGCACTCAAGGAGCTCTGAAATAAAAAGGGGTCGTAAGAAATATTTATGAACTTTCATGCTGCCTTATTACAATGATGTATACATATAGGTAGGTACAGTTACAAAGCAACTAAGTCAAGCACTTTTTCCACAAATTAAACTAAGGAAAACATTTTTCTGATAGATTACATATATACAATACATTTAGAAAAAATTACCTTTAGTTGTTCATGTTGAGACATGATCTCCACCAATTTAGATTCAAATGCAGCAGTTTGCTGCTCAGCAGGTAAGGATTTGATGGCATTAATGGCAGCATCAGCACCTCCATCACCTCCACCCTTGATGCCCTGCAAAATAAATTGCCTTCATAATTGCAGTAACACATTGGCCAATGGCCTTAATAGCCCAGATTGAAGAATTCTCACTTATTTCTACATAAAACATACCTACTGGTAGTGATTCAAAGTGACACATTTTCAATATTTGTGAAATTTGGCTGCTCAATTAAATACCGGTACTTGTATGTAATAAATTAAATAAAATATAATTCATTTTGTGGGAATCTTCTGGGCTGCATCTAGAGCTTTTCAACTGTTTTCAGGTGAGAATCGGAGCCCCAGCATGGATACCCCCCCAAATAAGAGACATGATTTAGGAAGCAGATATATTCCACACAACCTTCCAGGGCATCTCAGATAACTGGGCCAAAGCAATCCTTTCCAAAAAAAAAAAAAAGAAAAAAACAAGAGAAAACCCAGTGAACGGCGGTACATTATTCTCCTTCATGTAGACATTGCTCAGTTGAATGAAAGCTACACATACAAATATAAACATGTGCTTGTAAGCAGCTGGTACAGTAGTATGCAGTGCAGTGGTTACAGTTCAGAGTATCAGGATTGGAGAGTGCAGGTGAAAGTTTGACCTCAGCTCTGATCAGCAAGAAGGCCAGGCATTTGAGCACTTAGCAACTAACTACAAAATTGGGCAGAAGCCACTCCTGGATTGGACAAAAATACCTGCTAATCTGGTAAATTTCACCAATTTCTATAGCTTTTCCTAATTTCTTCAGTGACAAATGAGAAAATGGCCTATTTTAAACAGCAATTTTTAAGAATCATCCTAACACAATTATTTTTACCCATAAGTTTGGAAAAAATTATTCCTAAACAGCCCAATATTGCAATTAGACAATTGCCCAGCAGAATCGGAGCAGTCAGTTGAACGGGCAATGGTGTAAGAGTAGAAAGACTACCATCAAATTGGGTGAACGGGCAATAAGGGACAGGTGGGGTCAATTAGGACAATAATCCGCCACAACGTAAAAATGTTACCTACCACAGTGATTTATTGGAATTAGTTGGGGAAGGTGTAGTGACATGTGGCGCTCTAGATTATGACAGCGCTCTAATTTCCCAAAAGCTCATGTTCTTTTATACCTATTTACTATAAAATAGCACCATGTATTATAGGACTCAAAAATGAACTATCCAATGCTTTTTTATGGGTCAAACTTATACACACATTATATTTCTGTAAACTTAAAATGTGGCTGAGGAAGAGTCTAAAAAACTCTCTACTTTGTGAGTTGTGACCTGTGACTATGCAGCAGCCAGCAAGATCTTATGAAGGTGTAAATTTAGTCACTGATGAAGGTGTAAATTTAGCCAATTGCCAAAGATCTTCAGATAGGGTAAACGCGTATATTCCGACATCATGGGTAATTCCGACACTTCTCGACTTTTTTCCTTTATATTAAGATTTTTCTTAGTTCCACACATTTGTTGATGGTTAAAATAGTGATGTCATACTATTGCGCGCCATACTATTGCCAAAACACTACGTCTCGGCCGTCTGGCTGAAAAATGTTGAGATCCAAAGAGAGACAGTGCGTGTCACCCAGTGAGAACATCGAAAAATGTGTCAAAGTTAATAGTTAACCTTGCTCTACCAAATAGTGATAAACTGTTTGTGTAGAAAGAATATTATGGTTTGAGACTTTTAAATAAGTCAGTGAATATATTAGGAATCCTTTAAGCCACTGTGCAGAGAGTGGATGAATATTGCAAGATCTTTGGTGATGCTTCGCGGCTTCAGTAGCAAAATTTACGCCTTCAGAAGATCTTGCCGTCACATTTAGATTGAAATTCTTGCATTTAATATATTTGTCAGTCATCGGCCAACTATTTTAAAAAAAGTAAGGTTCCCGGTATGTTGGATGGATCAGGATGCAGTGAAGCTTGTCTGGAAATCAGTTGCGATGAGTTCCCGCCAAAAAAATGTAAGCTTCAAGTTTACTATTACGTAGTTGCGGTCACATTAGAGCTGTCAGACTGCATTATCACATGTTCAGTTGACACTTGCTGTACAATCGGACTGTTTTTAGGGTAAAATTAGTTATTTGGGGTAACACGTGCATGCAACCTTGTAAATAAGTTCGTGGCTTGTAAATAGTTTTTCATTACTCAGCGTAAATGGCTTTTCATTAGAAATTACCCGGCAACGCATCGTAGAATTACCCGGCAAAGCTTAGGGCTTAAAAACCCATATATTGGCGACGCTGCATCCACCCTCTGCACCCTGGCCTTTAAGATTTAGTATATTTGTATTTGCTGATTTCAAGTGGTAAAAAAATTAATAGATGGTTAAGTTAAGAGACAGTTTTAGACACATAAAAACTAATTCCAACACAGCTTGGAATTAGACACACACAGCTCGTTCCAAGGCTCCAAGCTGTGGCAAAAATTAAAATTGTCTTAATTAAAAGCTTAATAGCTCTTAATTAAAAGCCTAAATAAGCAGTGTTCAATATTCAATAGTGTTCTAATTCCAAGCTGTGTCGTATTCCAATACAGCTCACACAGCAATCGGAATTTGAACACAAGAGTGTTGCCGTTTGTATTACGAATTAGTAGAGTTTGAAGCATGGCCGGAATTAGTCTCACAAAATGCCCAATTTAGTCACACACAGTGTCGGAATATATGGATTTGGTAGGTTTGCATTCTAAAGGCTTTTAAATAAATATGGCAACATTTTGTGATATTTCACTAGTCTGGAAAAGTCCTATTTTTGTCTGAAATATCGCGGCTCTAATATCATATAATTTCAGTAGGTATGAAATCTCGCGGCTCGAATGTCATAAATTTTTGTTTGATTAAAAAATCACAGTTTGCACTTCGCAGTTCACAAACATGTCATTTCATAAAATTTTCAACTTCCGCAATCCGCATTGCTTTACCATTTCCGCCAAAAATATCTTGCAGAAAAACATAAACATCGTAATGTAAACAAATAAACAAAACGTTTGTTGAAGATTGCGCATAGTTGCGAACTTGCGGTCATGTCAAAGCGGTCAGACTGTATATTAACACGTGCTGAACTTACAGTAGAGACAAATTTTATTGTTGCCGTTTGACTGTTTAAGGGTAAAATTAGAGATTTGGGGTAACACGTGCATAAACTTTGTAAATAAATTCGCATTCGCACCTCGTAAATGGAGAGCCGCGAGATTTCATACCTACTGAAATTATATGATATTAGAGCCGCGATATTTCAGTCAAAAATAGGACTTTTCCAGACTAGCTTAAAGTGTCGGAATATACCATGTTTACCCTATTCACCCACTTTGTGCACCCTGGAATCAGACAAAAACACCTACCTTGAATCTGGCCAATTTATCCAGTTTCTATGACTTTGCCCCAAGTTTTTCAGTAAAAAAATGAAAAACAGCCTACTTATAACAGCAAACTTTGAAAATCACTTGGAAAACAATAGGTTACATCCGCAAGTTTGTTACACTTTTGCCAGATAATCTAAATAGACTGGAGCTGCAAGAATTCATTCATAAGTAGAAGTCCAACTGTCCAATCTTGGATTAAATTTAAAAGAAATACAGCTCCAATATCATTCTTACTCTTGGTTGTCAGTTGCTTAGTGCTTACCTTTGGTTTAGAGCTTTTAGATGTTTTCTTGTTATTTCCAGCCATTTTATTTCTAGAAATAGATTGTCCTTTTCAGACTTTTAGTACCACTTCTATATATGTATGACACTTTTTGACAAAACGTCAATATTAATGCGTTATGTTTATGGATATATTTGCACAGGCGGCAGGCCCACAGTGAGTCAGTGACGAGTGCACACACTTTATTATGAATACACCCACAGGCTACAGCTGACGGCGCGTGACCGGCGTGAGTAGGCCCTATTACTGGATTTGAAACGCCTAATATCACACTAATAAATTCGTTGTTTCCGTCGGGCTGAAAGTTGAAAGGAACTGATGGAGGAGCCCCCAAGCAACTTAGCTCACCTCTGCTACTGCTACAGCTACTGCAAGTTCTCACCGAGATCTTCTTCTAGTTCTTGTTTAATGGGGGCTTCGAAGACACGTCCATGTAGCCCCAAGACAGAAAGCTCCAGCATGCACAGCACACCTTTCAAAGAATTTCATTGTCTGAAGAGTAAGAAGACCAAGAGAGATTGCCTTCTTTTTTCCGGCGTTTGCCGGATTTTCGTCCCATGGCGAAAACAACTGATTCAATGATTGTAAGTCAAATTCTATTGAAAAAAAAATGGAGCGATAGTTACCGGAGCTGACCGTATCTATAGTCGACAGCCGACAAGTCGAGAGCTTATGTTAATAGTAACCTCTCTCGTTGAAGTCTCAGCAAGCCAAGGATTTTTTCAATTATGTTAATGAGACTTTTTCCCAACAACGTTTCCATGTACGAGTGGTGAAGAGTCCGCGCTAGAGGTCCCTCGCTTGCCAGATCAGAATCCGGAATGTCTTTGAGTGCGGAGAGCAATTTGGTGAATATTTTCATCCAACGTATCCTCTGTGGTAAAGTAACGTAAGACTAATTATTGGACTTGAATCGATACTAAACCAGGAACAAGTTCAGCTCCCGCAATGACTTAGAAATGGATCTTTTTTTCTCTCACCGAGATCGTCGTTGAGAAGAGATGCAACGACGTTCGTAATTCGGATCGGAGCAGCAGGACTATGTTGCAAAGTTGCATCCAAATTTTCGCTATAATTGAAAAATGATTCACAAGCCGTTCCAAATTTTTGGTCATAGTAGGGTATCTTCCGTGCTAAAGAATGGGCTTGGGTGGCCTGTCGCCAGTTCTTGTAATTATTGTGACTTGCTCACATTCCGGGATTAAAAGGCAAGCCTTATGAAGAAACATTAAAGATTATGAAGCTTCCAAGCCTCTGTTATCGACGTCTTCATGGTGATCTCATTGCAGTATACAAGTATACCCGCGCTTTATACAAGGTCCCAGAAGGATTACTAGAATTTGAAACAAGAACCAACACCTGGGGCCACGGCTAAAAACTAAAAACGATTCCATGCGACAACATTTCTTCTCGCTTCGAGTCACCGACATGTGGAACAGCCTCCCTGATAGCATCGTTGACGCTCCGAGTATGAACGCCTTCAAGAACAGACTAGACGAAGCTATGCAGGAGCATATGTTCAGTATTGAAATGCCTACGTAGCACCTTACGAGCCTCGCAATAAGTCCAGCAGCTACCTCAACCAATCGTCAGATAGCGTCAGTTATTGAAAGATCGGGTTCAAAAGGCCGGATACATTGTGGAATCAAGTCACGAAAAGTACACGAATCGGCAACAGGCCATGGGCCTATTTCTTTAGTGCCGGCACTCCTATTCTATTCTATATCTAAAAAACTGGCCTTCTGACCAGATCTTTTCAACTGACAGTGGCTTGAAGTAGTTACTAGACTCTCATTTGTTGAATAGGTACTATTACTAGGTATTTCAAAACTGAACATATACTCTTGCATAGCCTTGTCTAGTCTGTTCTTGGACGTGTTCATACACTATTCACATGTGGGAGCGTCAAATATTTGCACTCCGAGCGTCAACAATATCATCAGAGAAGCTGTCCCACATGTCGGTGACTCAAAGCGAGAAGAAGTGTCGCTTGGATGAGTTACACTGCAGTTTTTTAGCATGTAGTTTAGAGCCGTGGCTCCCTGGTGTTGTTTCTTGTTTCAAGATCTACAAATCTTACTGGGACCTTGCATAAACCATGAGTGTGCTTGTATACATCAATGAGGTTGCCATGCATACGTCGATAACAGACTTTTGTAAACTTCACAATTTCTAATCTAATAGCGGTTTCAGCGTTTATAAGGCCGTAGGCCTGTCGTCGACTCTTAACATCGCAGAACATTCACAGCATTTTACGGTCTCGAACATGCAACAAGATTTGCCTTAAAAGCCTGTAATTATTACTGTGCCAGGTCTTTGAACGATGTGACAAAAGTTTTGTTCTTTTTGAGTTTTGGTAAACACACGGCGTTTCTAAACTCTAGGATAGTGCGCACGACAGCGATAAACAACAGCTTCATCGCTCCTGCATGTAGGTTCTAGCTTGTAGAAGCGTCTTGTCAGCCCAAGCAATTTATTGGATTTATTAACTTGCGTTTCAAAATGCCTATCAAATTTTAGCTCCTTGTCGGTAAAAGCTATTAGATCTTTTTCGTCATTGCCATCTTAGCGGTCATATGAATAATTCAAGAGTTCATTTTTTATTTTCGATTGAGTTTTAGCTTTCGTTACTTGCATGCAATTCCTCAACCTTCACTCAATGGCTCATTTCTGGGTCTCGGCGCTGACCGGCCGAATCAATCGACAAGCTACTCATGTGGTATCTGTCCCAGGGGGTTTAGTGTGCGAGCTGCGGGAGGTGGTTTCTCGCATGGGGACGCCAGGGAACAGACCCCGAAGAAGTAAGTACCTTAGGTTCGCACTCACTAATAAGGTGCTTGTACACGGGGATAGTGCAGACGGCTAGTAAATCTGGCTAGTGTCAGTCGCTTGGTGACTATCCGGCTAGTGAGCCTGTACACACGAGGAGAGTATATGGTGCCGCTATCTTCTCGTTCGCGCCCGTCAGTGAGTCGTTAGAAGCCATCGAGTGAGGTCTGTGAATATGGATAGTGTGATCACCTTCAACAACTCGAGTCTGTACGTCTTTTTCATACTCCATATTCTAGCTCTTAAAGATACAGCGTCGGGAGCAACTAAACCCTGACTAATAAGGTCTTCTTTCCGTTTAAAAATACTCGTTTCTCTCTTCATTTTGTTGGAGTAACCATCATGGAAAACATTATACTTTAATTCATATTTTGAGAATATTTCAAAGAATAATTGAATATCGTCTGGAATCTACTTTGTTGGATTCCTCTTAGAAACATTATCGTTCAAACAAGCCATGATTTACGTGATCCAAGATACTTCACAGGAGCGGCACAGATGCTCTCACCATGGCTGCATCAGCGCTACTAGCCACTTCTTCAGCCAAGATATCAACACATCGTTGTCTCTCTCGGCCGCGCCTCGGGTACTTGCCGGCGCATGCCTCAGAAGCGGCTGAACCCCTATACACGAGGCTAGTAGCGTGGACAGTTCAAGCGCCGGATGAACTAGCGGCTAGTACTATCCCTGTGTACAGGCACCTTAAGACCGGGAGTGAGAAGACCGCATCGACACTTTTGGGACGAATTTCCATAACAGGTTTCTCACGCATATGTTTACCAAAGCGCAACCGATCAGGACCAAATTAAAAATAGAGATATTTATTGACATAATATTGATGCTGGCATTGACAGAATTTTTTGTATACTTCAATTTTAATTAGCAGATTTTCCACGCATAATTTCATGTTTTAGCAGATTTTCCGCGCATAATTTCAACAAATCGAAAACGATCTTGACCTTATTTACAACGTTGCTATTTTTTTTTTTGACATGACACTCCTGCAAGCGTTGTCAGAATTTTCATTTTTATGACGTAGTGCGCGCTACATGCTAAGTTTTAGCCCCCATTGCAGGCCTAACTGACTGACGCCTAACTGACGAAAATAATTCTCACAACGCTCGCAAGAGTGTATCGTGAATAAATAGCTTCCTTGTTAATAAGGGGCGAGATCTGTTTCGATTTGAAAAATTTACGCGTGGAAAACCTGCTAAACTTAACGTTCGGCACGTTAATTAAATTCGAAGTGGACCAAAAAATTCTGTCGATGCTAGCAGCCTAGCATCGTGATTATTGCTAGCTTGAGTGATTGTTGCTAGCATGAGTGGTAAATGCTAGCACGAGTGGTATTATTTGCAGTAGTTACTGTTAAGAGTCCCATGGTTCGAGCAGTGAGTTGTGGGTTCGATCCCTGCTTCCTGTGAGAATTCTAGTCAAAAGGCGAGATGGCCAGGCGGCTGAGAGTAGCAAAATTGAAGGAGTGAGTTGCGGGTGCGCAACATCTGCAAGCTATAGGAATTTTGTGCTGGTCAGAATCGGCGACTGGCTCTAACGTAAATGCGTACAATGTTATTCCTCTTTTTTCTCTCCGTGAACGCAAAGTCAAGCCTGAAAATGGAAATAATTTTGGTCAAATGAATCGTTGTCGTTTAGCCTTTACTTCGATATCATCAGCTGAATGAAAACAAAATGAGTGCATTAGACATTCCTATGTTATTATTCGACAATCCTATTATAGTAAAAGCCGCTGGAAACCAATGTGTGGAAGGCATCACGTCACCGGGGCCCAAGAAGCCGGGCTGGGGCCTATCAAAGGCGGCCTGAAGCTCCGCAATTCTCATGGAAATGAGCGACTGCGTCCGCCTCAGACGGCGCCCATGTCGGGACTGTTTTTGTTGTGTGGTCTTGGCGGCTTTTATGAGAGTTAGTGAGTCTGCTTTGCATAGTATGAGCCTGCCTCGGTTTTGTTCCACTTATACATTTGCTTTTATATTAGTTGGACTTGCTAATGAGCTCTTATGATATGCAGACCTATGGAAATTACAGAGAATGCCTATGCAGTGAATGAATATTTAATTTCATATTTCCAGCCGCAGGGTAGAGCATTGAGCTTTGCGCAGAATTTCTTTGGGATGTCGGGTTTATTCTCAGGGAAGAGTTACTTCAAGAAGAAAGTAAAAACATGAAATGATACAACAAAAAATATCCTGTGGCAGCCATTCAAGTACTTTATAGCAGTGAAAATATTTCTCAAACAGCCAGAATTTATTAAAATCATTTCGATCGCGCAAACATCAAACTCCATTTATTCAATTTCTTAAATTATGGTCCCTGATTTCAACAGAAAATCTCAAATGGAATTATACACCGAGTATCTATGTACTCGTGACAACAGCAAGTCTCTATTTTATAGACCTGGTGATGGATATAACGCAAACAATTGGTAATGACATCTAATATCCCATAGAAGAAGTTAAAAATACGCATAAAAAACCTAACTTCAGTGCGTCGTGGGACGAGTCTTG